TATTTGGATACAAAGTTGTAATATGCCCACAGATAATTTCTACTTGGTACAGAGTATTGGTTTTTTCAAAACATAAACATATTTAAATATTTTTTAATGCTTTTTAAAAAACCCGTATTTTGGATAGTGATACCAATGGCAAATTAAATATATACCTTAACAAACAAACAAAAAGATACTGCATACTTCTTCATTCAGCTCATTAAGATGTCAAATATAGTAATGTCTAAGACTAACCCCTGTGATACCTAAACAGACAACTTCTTCCTTGGTGTATTATTACCCTTCCTTTATTAAGGCTTTTGGAAAAGGTTTCATGACATTATTTTTATGGAAGTCAAAATGAAATCTGAAGTCAAACCGTGTATAAAACAAAATGTTTTCTAAAGATTCAAATACTATATTCTTTCCACTTTTCACTAATAATTCTGTTCAACAGAGAGAAAAAGTGTTAAAGCTAATTAGTTTGTATGGTCAAAGGACTATAAAAATGTGCATAACCTTTGACCCAGCAATAGCACTTCTATGGCTGTATCCCAATAGAAATCATAAAAATGGGAAAAGGACCCATATGTACAAAAATATTTATAGTAGCTCTTTCTGTGGTGGCAAAGAAATGGGAATTGAGGGGATACCCATCTATTGGGGAATGGCTGAACAAACTGTGGTATACAAACAAATGTGCTACAAGAAATAAATGAGTAAACGGACTCCAGGAAAACTTGGAAAGACTTGAATGAACTGATGCTGAGTGAAGAGAGCAGAACCAGAAGAACACTGTACACAGTAACAGTCACGTTGTTCGATGACTAACGTTGATAGACTTAGCTCTTTTCAGCAATGCAAGGATCTAAGACATCTCCAAAAGATTAATGATGGAAAATGCTATCCACATCCAGAGAAAGAACTATGGAGTCTGAACGCAGATCGAAGTATACTATTTGCTCTTTTGTTTTCTTCTGTTTTGTTTTGTTTCTTCTTTCTTGTGGTTCCATCTATTTGCTCTAATTCTTTACATGACTAATGTGAAAATGTATTTAATAGGAATGCATATGTAGAGCAAATATCAGACTGCACACCAACTTGAGGAGTAAAGATGGGAGGGAGGGGGAGAAAATTTAAAACTCAAAAGCTTACGGAAGTGGATGCTGAAAACTAAAAATAAATTAATTATAAAAAAAGGTAATTAGTTTGTCTGGTATGTTTTCCCTCCATGGCATACTCATGGTTTTTGTAGCTCACCATCCACTAGCTATTTTTCTCTTGACTAAGCCATGAATCTTTTCTCCTAGAACAAAAGGCTATGCATTTAAGGTGGAAGAGAGTGGAAGTGGAGGTGTTCTGATCTCAGGGAATCTTTTGTGCTGATTTTCAAAGTCACTTGTTCAGTAAAGTTACCATAGTTGATCTCATTAAAATGGCATATCATGTGCTTGGGTTTTTATAAGCATTCCTAACTTTGCTTATGACCATAATTCATTTCAATGAAAAAGCTCTTACGTACTTACTATGTGCAAAGCACTATGTTAAGCCCCATTAAATTAATCTGCCAATGAAAGTATCCATACTGTGGTATGGAGAACTCGAAGAGTCTTGAAAGAGCTACCAGCAGGTCCTACCAAGATGAAAAAATTTGAATGCAAGCCCAGGCATAGAATGTTTGTTGGCTTAGGACTAGTCTAAGTTCAGAAAGGGCCAATTTAGCCATCCATTGAGCCATTCACAAAAGCATGAAAGGGCTATAACCTGTATGGATGGAAGGTGTACACACTCCAATGAAATCACAGCTCCTTGAGGTTTTTAAGTTAGCACATCAATTTCATATTGTGCATACGCAACAGTCAAGGTAGGTAAAATGTGGTTACTTGCCTTTCCGATTTGAAAAGTACCTTCTTGATGATAATGTGGACACTAACCTACAGAATCTCAAATTTGGAATGAACCTCCAATCCAGCCCTGAACAACAATCCCCCTGCTCTCAGGTCTACTTTCTGTCTGCCAGACATCTCTACCTAGATGTTCCATTAGCACCTCAAAGTCGACACACCCAAAACAGATATTTATCTTCCCCAGAACCCATCCCCCCTCTTAATTTCCTTATTTCTATCTAAGGCATCATGCTCCTCCTCATCACCCAGATCTGCAACCTCAGCACCATCCTTGGTTCTTCAATTTTGCCCCTTGATGCATCCAATTATTTGCCAAATCTCATCTATTCTACCTCCACAACTCTTAACACTCTCTTTCTCTCCAATGACATGCCCCCATTCTAGTTCAGACCCTTATCACCCCTCACTTAGACTACTGCAATAGCTTTCCAATGGGGTCCTTGGCTCAGATCTCTCCTCTCGGGTCTACCCTCCACTACCATGTGATATTTGGGTTTTGTTTGTTTGTTTGTCTGTTTGTTTTGGGTTTTTTTGCTAGTGAATGGGGTTAAATGACTTGCCCAGGGTCACACAGCTAGTAAGCATCAAGTATCTGAGCACATGATATTCCTCAAAAACAATTCTGACAACTTTAGTTCCCTCCTCAAAAAGCATTAGTATCACTTCCAGTATAAAATATAAACGTCTGACCTTTCAAGTCCTCCACAGCCTGGACCCAATCTACTTTTTCTGACTGATTCAGATTACTCCCCCTCATACTCAACAGCACAGCCAAATCATCCTATTTGCTATTCATCACATGGGACACCATCTCCTGACTCCAGGCATTTTTCACATGCTATTCCAGATGCTTGGAATGCTCTTCCTTTTCATTTCTACCTCCACATTCTAAAACTCAGCTCAAATCTCATGTTCTGAAGGTCTTTCCGGCCTCCCCACCAGTCCACCCTCATACCTTTCCTCTGAAATCATCTCCTATAAACTAAACAAATGTATAACTCTTGAGAGTTCTTTGTGGGCACAGGCTGTATTTTTACCCTTCTCTGTATCCCCAGCACTTAGCACAATGCCTAGCACAAAGTAAGTGCTTTAGAAATGCTTGTTGACTAACAGGAACCCCTAGGATTCCTAGAGATTTACAGGAATCCTATGAAGGCCCATGTCAAGTGACTCTACTACAAGAAGCCTTGTCTCATCCTGCCCCCAAGGGGTTAACGGTTTTTTGTCTCATCCTGCCCTGAAAGGGTTAGTGTTCTCCCCAGGGCCAAAACTACTTTGCATCTATTCTGAAAGTACTCATCATTCTCTCTCCATCCCAGCCACTCACCCGAGCAGAACATTTAAGCTTGTTGAAGGCAGGAAGTGTTTCTTTTGTTTTTGTATTCCCAACACTTAGAAAATTGTCTAGTAGGTACTTAATAAAAGCTTAATGAACTGAATTCAGTTGTTCAAAGTCACACCAGCAGCATTGCCAGGATTTGTATTCAGGTCCTCTGATTTCAAATTCAACCCATTTTACTCAACTGCAATTTCCTTGCGATTTAGAGAAGAGATTGTTAATGAAAAGTCACCTAGATGCACAGGAGTGATTTCACACATTTAAAAAAAGAAAATGAAAAAATCTTCCAGCATACCATAAGTGATGAATATATTACTTTAATGTTAAAAAGTCTGTATCTAATACAAACATAAAACAGTACACTGTTTGTTTCAGCTACAGTAATTTTGCAAACTTCAAGAATAATTTTTAACACTTTGTCACACACAAACTTGGTGTAAAAATGACCAGGTTATTTAGCCTGACATTTAGATCTCTTGTATTACTATGAAATATTAAAACACTAAGAGTATCAAATGTTATACAAGACTCTTATTCAATGCCTTTCTAAAATAAAAATACTAAAAATGTACTTATCATTTCATACATATCAAAAATCTGTGTTGTTCTTTTGCAAGTGCTCAAAGCATAGTACCTGTAGTGTTGATTATATCTTGATAATAAAACATTCTGGCTATCGGTAAACCAGTTACTGGGATGGAATTTTAATGTTTCTGAGCTATCCCAAAATGCCCAGTCCTTGTTAATCCTCTGATAGCAATAGGTCCATAGTCTTGGGAGATGAAACCATATCACTATGCCTCAAAGTGTTAACTGGAACTTGAAACTGCAGTATAAAGCATATAAATCTAACATTACTTAAAAAAATTTTTTTTTGCCAAAAAGGAATTAGATTTAATGCCATTATTCTGTGTTCAAATGAATTACCATGTGTTTTTATTGTTTTTGTTTGGGTATTTGGTTATAACCCAAAATCCAAGAGTTACTTAAAAAAATAATTGACATCTGAAAGGGACATGCTACATTTTCACATGGAGGCAATTCATTTTAATTTAAATGATATATTTACCTGCATATTATAAACATTAGACTCATGAAAACTGGTTTTGGAAACAGGTCGTAAGGAATATTCAGATAAAAAAAAAAGGCCACAACAGAAAAGGATATCCAAAAGGGATTTTTTAATTAGTATTTTAAAAATATGATGTACTTGAGGATTGGGATAATTCCTTTAAAACAACAACTACCACAATGTATTCAGCTTAAATTCTTTAGCCTTTCTTTGTCCTTAGTTATGTGAAATGTTGATAACAATTAACGATTTCTCCTACAGACAGTACAAATGTACTTTATGAAAGAAAAGAAGGGACAAATTCTTAGAATGGAAAATATGAGATTAATAATTAATGAAAAATTAAATCCCTGATTTATTTTGGAAGAAAAAAAATAAGTTTGGTTTTTTTTTCTTAAAAGAAAAGGTAGGTTTTAGCTAGGGACTCCACATCACTAATATCCAGTGTCAATAATATAATTACCTAAAATTTTAGATACATTTTATGGACAAGAGATAGAAAAATGTATCTGAAACAAACCGGTAATATAGTTTCAACTCATAATGTGAAATACCTTAGTAAAGCTTTATTCTCCCCCTTCATTGCTCAAATTAAATAAATGACTGACAAGCTTCCACACCTTTAAATTACAGAAGGTAATTAGCAGTGCACATTGAAGGTACAGTTCATATACAAATAAAAATGGTACCTGAAAAATGCTAAGGGAAAATGAAAACATTTATTTTTTTTGTTATTTTGTAACTACCTTTTAGGTGTATTTTCCTAGCACTTGTAAAAATGCTGGCCTTATTTCATCAATATAAAACTATTGAAAATGATCACAATAGAATCTTTTACACTTAACTCAAAAAAACCATTCTTACATGATACAAGAAATCACACTCTACACTGCCTCTCTTGAAGGGCTAACATAGTAGCCCTCTCAAGCGGAAGGCAATACTTCTTTTCTGTCACCTGCATTTCCTCACATATCATCCTTACTTCACATCATTTGCAATAGAAATATTTATCACAATTTGCGAGGTAAACAAGTAAGAAAATATTTTTGGCAACCTAGCGCTCGCCAAGTGAATTTATTCTGTCTTCTTAGTATGTCTCCTCTTAGCTTCAACATGAATTGAATAGGGTTTTGACCTCGTGCCTGTACCATTGAAAGATGATTTACATGGTCCTGATGAAGGATCATTCTGCCAAAAGCCAAACAGCATTCGACCCAGCATAATCTCAAAAGGAGTGAGGGGAGAAGACTCAGACTCAGTAAGCATCATGGCTATCTGAAAAAAAAAAAACCAAACAGTTAAATTTAAATTCCAATACAATATTTTGGTAGTTTCAATAAATGAAAAGAGATAAGTAAAAATAATGCAAAATGTGTTTATTATAATCAATAACAGCAGATATAATAAGAGCAAATATGTACTGAATGTGTTGTGCACTGTATTAAGGGGCAAGCTCTAACTGGCATGGAAGTACCATCAGAAGAGAGTACTACCTCTGGGTGGTACAGTGGACAAGAAAGATTGGGAGTAGGTATATGCCCTAAAGGCAGAGTAGGTTTTAGACAAGTGAAGATGCACACAACTGAGCAGGAAGATACTGCTAAGATAAAGAATTATAATTTTCTTCTCATAAATGGACAGGTGCAGTGTAAATGCTTGTGCAAATTATGTATTTTAAACTTTAAAAGTGAATAATTCCCCATAGTGACCCTTATATTTGCTTACTTTTACAACTTTGTTAATTTATTTTATTTTATTTGTACACATACAGACTGAAAGGCAATGTGTTGCAGTGGATAGAAAGCGAGCCTCAAGGCAAAGAGGTCCTGTGTTCCAATTCCACCTTTGCCTCACACAGTCTGTGTGACCCTGGTCCAGTCACTTAACCTCTTGGGGCTCTTAAAAATATCTAACACAATAAGTTGTAGAGAAGGTATAGCCCTGGAAGTTCCCTAAACCAATGGATTCACAGCTGCAGTCCTTATCCCTATAGACAGACTACAGAATTCAAAAGAAGGGAAGAAGAGAAAACATAATTTATACCAAGCACTCCACAGTTGACAGAAAATGAATTATTCATCGGTCCTTAGGTGTCCCTGACTGATTCCAGGGTAGTTTCAGGGATCCTTGGGATAGCCCGGGTATTTTGTGGACACCTAGAAATACAGCTAGATTTATATTCAGGAGACTGTATGACCTACTTTGTTAATCTTTAATATAGATTTTGCAAATGTGGATTTTTCAGCATATCGAATTTTCCTAAACAAGGATTCACTAGTCTACTTGCACTGTATTGAAGTTTCTTTTCCTCTTGAATGGGTATAGAGACAGCCCTCTGTTTTTCCATAGTTCCAGGTTTACTAACCAAACCTTTAGAAGTCTAAGTTCTGGGAGAAAAATAGCCCTTGGATGCCTTTTTATAAAGAAGCTAGTTTAAATCTCAACAAATGATTTTTATTTTTCCCCACAAAATAAATTACTCCTAGTCAGGGTTCTGAAAAGAAGGTGGGGCAGTTTCACTATATTTAAAGAGTAAAAGTGGGAAAAGTTATCTCTTCCTGACTGGGGAAAAATAGTTACATACTCCTTTGCTTCTTTGAAATAAAAAGGAAAGAAATGCTATATCTCTCTCTCCCCTCTTCAGCTTCTTCTGGAGTAGCTGAGAGATATTAAAACAGTAGAAATCACCAGAAGTTAAAAGAAGTTGCCCAGAGACCATTAGATACTCGCATGGTCTAGAACCTCAGGAACCAGCAAAAAGAACTCACAAGAGTCTGTACTTGACAGTAAGATGAACGGTATGAATCAGAAATACTTCAATCAGTTTGTGTGTAAGATATGAATTAGGATAAACTATAAGCAAACTATTTAGGATTATCAGCAAAGTTGAAATCACAGAATCTCAGAGTTAGAAGAGACCTAGTTCAGCACTGATATCAAATTATTACATAATTTGTTTTAAATGTTATTTTATTTTTTTGCTTTTTGGTGAGGCAATCTGGGTGAAGTGACTTGCCTAGGGTGACACAGCTAGTAAATGTCAAGTGTCTGAGGCCAGATTTGAACTCAGGTTCTCCTGACTCCAAGGCTAGTGCTCTATCCACTGCATCACCTAGTTGCCCCTAAATGGTATGTTAACAAACTTTTAAATATTTAATTGCAATAAAGATCTAGAGATTATTTCATTTAATTTAAAATTTTATTTCTATAAAGATCTATACTATTTATAAATAATACATTAAAATTCAGTGTTATAAATCAATGATGGAACAGAGGTTATAAGGACTTGTGTTTAGAGACATACATAAATTTTTAGTCTAAACATTTACCTTGTTCTTCAAACCAAATAGCTAGGGTGCCACTCTATCTGGAAGAAAAATTCATCTTCACTGGTATTTTTTAAGGATTAATAAAATTTCAAAAGTTAAATCTGCAAAAAGTTATAAAATGACAAAAACATGCCTCCTTCAAATTTGGGTGAGAATAAGAGATAATCAGAGGGGGAACATATAAGTTAGTAGGGTAGGAGGTTAATGGCTTTAATCTGTATTTTCTCCTCATTTGAAAATATTTTCTCTCATTTCTCAAAGAATAATATGGAAAAACGGTCTTGCTGTAATATAAGTGACCTTATCAACTCCTCTGGCATCAATAATTACCTCAAAGAATCTCAGAGCTGTTAAGGATAATAAGGGAACTCCAATTCAGCATATAACAAAGAAATTCCTCCATAAAATCCATAACAAGTGATGGCTGGGAAACCTGTAGTAAAATGCAACTCTCTAATGTTGAAGCAGCCCACTTTACTTAGATGTTTCTAACTATATGGCAGTTTGTCCTTTTATTAATCTGGCATCTCTCTCCAACCCCTACCCATCACTCCTAGCTCTGCCCTTCTGGGACTACAGAACAGAGTTAATCCTTCTTTCATTTGACAGTCCTTTAAATACTTTAAGACTATCACATTTGCTCTAAATCTTCTCTCCTACAAGTTAAATATCCTCGGTGCCTTTACCTAATCCTCATCATCCTTTATGCAGGTGACTCTGAGATCTCCATATCCCTCCCCAATCTGTCCCCAAAGATTTAGTCCTACATTTCTAAATGGCAAAGGGGTATCTTGACCTAGATGTTCTGCTAGGACTTAAAAAAGGTAGGATGGGCACACTATGGTGCAGTGTAAAGAGTGGTGGGTTTAGAATATGGCAGAGTTTAATTCTGTCACTGTCTCTGCATCCTTGAGCTAACTGCTTCATCTCTCCAGGCCTCCATTTCCACATCTGTAAAATAAAGGAACTGGATAAAGCTCCTACCATCTCTAAATCCTATTAAAGAAAGGGAGAAAATACTCATATGTACAAAAAATTTGAAGCAGCTCTTTTTGTAGTAGAAAAGAACTAGAATTACCCATTAATTGGGAAATGGTTAGACAAATCACTGTATATAATAGAATATTCCTGTGACATAATGAGGCAGCTAGATGGCTCAGTGGATAGAACACTAGGCCTGAAGTCAGGAAGAACCAGATTCAAATCCAGCCTCAGACACTTACTATGTGAGCTTAGGCAAGTCACTTAACCTGTTTGCCTTAATCCACTGGGGAAGGAAATGGCAAACCATCCGTTATCTTTGCCAAGAAAACCCCATGGACAGCATTGCCATGCTATGGTCCATGGAGGTCACAAAGAGTCGGACATGACTGAATGACTGAACAAATTGTGCCATAAAAAAGGATAAAGGGGATGGTTTCAGAGAAATCTAGAAAGACTTGGATGAACTGCTTCTGAATGAAGTGAGCAGAACAAGGACAATTTATACAATAACAACTACATTGAGAAAACAAATAATTTTGATAGACTTAAGGACTCTGAGGAATGCAACGACCAACCATGATTCTGAAGGACCAATGAGGATATGCCACCCACCTCCTAACAGAGACATGATAGACTCAGGAAGAAGAATCTGACATATTTTTTGGAAATGGCTAATGTGGAAATAAGTTCTACTTGGCTATGCATATTTGTTACAAGATTATGTTTTTCTTTTTTTTTTTCTAATGGAGAGAATAAAGGGAAATAAAAGAGATTTTTGTTCATTTTTAAAAAGAGACAATAATAAATCTTTGTTCTAGGCACCAAGAATGACAAGAGATGAAACCCAAGTAGACGCCTACCAAAGTTCTTTTTAAAAAAGGAGGAAAGGGGCAACTAGATGGTGCAGTGGATAAAGCACTGGCCCTGGAGTCAGGAGGACCTGAGTTCAAATCTGGTCTCAGATACATGATACTCACTAGCTGTGTGACCCTGGGCGAGTCACTTAACCCTGATTGCTTTGCCCCCTCCCCCCCAAAAAAGGGAGGTGGGGGAGGCAGCTAGGTTGTGCAGTGGATAGAGCACCAGCCCTGAAGTCAGGAGGACCTGAGTTCAAATCCGGCCTCAGACCAAACACTTGACCCTTACTAGCTGTGTGACCTTGGGCAAGTCACTTAACCCCAACTGCCTTAAAAAAAAAAAAAAAAAGGAAAACCTTCAACCCATGCTGTGAAGATTTTCTCATAGAAGATTTTTGGTAAAAGACAAATGACAACTGCACAGTAGAGATAAGAAACTGTGGCAAGGAGAACACATAAAAAAGCCCATTTCCTCTTCAAGGTATCTGGAAGATGACACCCAGAAAGGCAGGAACTACTGTGATGGAGTGTTGCATATAGTGTCTGATGAGGTGTTCCTGTATCAGTGGATTTTGCTTAAGGGATATATCCAAAAATGCTTGCAATGTAAAAATAGAAGGCATCAAGAAACCTTATTTTAAAGGGTTTATGATATGTATCATTGGAAGGAAGAGAAACAGACAGACCACATTTTCCCAGTTCACCTAAATATGCATTAAATGTTTAGAGTATTTGCATCACAGACCACATCAATGTAGAGATTAAAAAAGTCTTACGTCAATTGTTCCCTGCTGTTACATACCAAACAGTATAAAATACACTAATTTTTCAAGATCCCATAGGTAATTTTTTTAAAATGAGGAAGATCATTTCTATTTAATTTGAAATACAATTGTGAAATTATTCTTGGTTTAGGCAAATTTCCTTACACTAAAAGACACTCCCTGCTGATGAAGGATGGGGAATGATGCTTTCTTGCAATTTACAAAAAGAGAAGCAGGGTGATGGACTGGAAAGGGCACTAGATTTTCATTCATTCATTTAACAAGCATTTTCTAAGTACCTACTACATGCAAGATACTGTGCTAAGCACCAGGAATATGATAAATCAAAAACAGTCCCTGTCCTTAAGAAAATTAAATTCTACTGGAGAAATGCAATAGTTTTACTGCTAAGAAGCACAAGAAAATTTGTGAAGGTTGTGAGCACTAACAACCAAAGCTTTTTAAGGAAGAGAACCTGCGTACAAATCCCAGTTCAGTTACTATCTGTACAACTTCTCTGAGTTTGAGTTTCTTTATCCGTAAAATAAGAGCACTGAACTAGACAATCTCTAAAGTTCTGTCCATCTGGGATCTATAATCCAATGGTCCACCCCCAAATGCTTCAAAGAGCTCCAGCGTTCTCTTTCCAAATGATAGCACATGTGCCTGAATGAACCTAGCCCTGGGACACCACTGCCCTTTCCACATTAGACAGGGTGTCCCTGACCTGTCCCAAGCTACCCAGAACTCTTTTCTTCTGGTCCCCACAAAAGCAGAAGGGTACGAAGGGAAAGTAATGCTTTAAGAATGAAACTCTAGTAACTGTCTCAGTGCCCATATTCTACTACCACAAAACAGCTGCTGAGCTACTGTTGAGCTAGTTCAGCCACAAAAAAATACTGCCGACGCTTAAACTTCATGTAATTCTCCTAAGAAAAAGAATGGCTGATACAGGATTTGTAAAAATTAATTAAAAGGTATTATGGACACCTACCTTCGTGACAACGATAAAAAAAGTGTAGCAGAACATAAGACTATGTTTTTCCATTGGCAGTGTCCCTGAATGCTGTAATGTGAAGAGAACTGCTCCCACCAGACTTATCTTCACAGGGCTGAAAATAAAATGAATTTTAATTCAGTATATAATAATATCTAGGTCATAAATTCATCACAACTTTAAAGACATAGTTTGATAGTGCCAGACTAATAACTCAGGGGTAGAACTCAGATTTGTACAGCACATTAAGATTTCCCAAGCTCTTTACCCCAACAATCCTGTGAGACAAGTAAGTTATCATCCCCCTTTATGGATGGATACCCACAGGAGTGTCAAAGCTAGCTTAATATTTTCAAAATTGCCTTCTTGTCATATTTTTTATTTGTACAGAATTTTAATGATAGTACTATAATAAAATTTTATTTATCCATACTTGCAACTAAGGATAAACTCTATATAAAAAAGTAAAAATTACCAAAACTATGAAAATATCATATTGTATAAGCACTAAGTTATCCATATGTTTTATTACTCTGTGAAAATAATAGCTGGAATTTTTTGTAATTTAGTCACTGAAAACTGAAATATCAAGTCAAACAAAAGTTAGGGCTGGCCTACAGATCCTATCTGGATAGTGGGATGTAGTAATCATTTCCTGAAGGCAGAAGTCCAAAATATTGGATGAGAAGGAATCAAGGAGGTCTTTTTCAGAGAGAGGCATCTGAGTTGAGTTAATTTCAGTACATGGCAAGGACTAGTTAAGAGTCTCTAGAAGCAGCTAAATATAAATCATAAAGTGATTATTTGTAAGTTAGTGTGAGAAGAAAGGTTTGATTTATTACTCTTAAAGGAAGTAGACAGTGAAAAATAATGTCTTTCTTTTGAAAAACTTCATTCATTTCAACATATCTCCACATCATTATTCCTTTACAGCATCCATGGTGATCAGAATGTATCAATATCCCTAATTTACAATTTGAGAAACAAATTAAGAAAAGTTACATGATCTACCCAAGTTTCACATTATTAGTAGCAGACTAAGCACTCAAAGCACTGAAAAAACTATATAACATGGGAAACAAAAGAGAACTGAGAGTATTAAAATTTCAAACTATAATACTTTTATTCCAATGTAAAAATAAAAAGGCTTATACACTTTATTTTTCAACCAGAAGGGACCCATCCCAAATCTAAGAAATGTTCATCAAAATAATTCAAAGAAACTGACTTTAAGGAAAACAACAACATACTATTTCCCCAAAAATTTATATTTGTATATTTACATAAGGTTTTACTCATCATGAAGATCTAGCAGAATAAACAGAAAATGAATAGAAAAAAATAACTAAAAAAATGCACTTGTGAATCAGTAAATATAAAATTATAGTAAAAATTAATAAATTTTTCAGTTGCCAAAATAAGAAATCTATAAAGCAAAACATTTTTAAAATTGCTGACAAAAGAAAACTTCCAATTTAGAAATAGCATTGCTAACATTTTTTGTTGCCTTTTCTTACCAAGGACAACTGCATAAAAATGTAGGTCATGCTGAGATTACAGCTGATATTGTATACTTGAGTACTATTATACATGTATTTTTTGTCAATCTAGATATATATTAATAAGCATACATACAGATAGCATTATAGGCCTTAAGACTTCTTAGGAATGATTTAACTTTTCTTTTTTCTTACAACACTGACATTGGACTCTGAGAATAAAGTTTATGCTAGCATATCATAAATACCATTAAAAAGAAGCATGATAGGTATACAATAAATTTATCCAGTGATATATATATATTTAATATTTAATTAATATTTAAGACTTAAGAACGAGATATATATATAGATGTATATAGATATAGATGTATACATCTATATATATATCTCACTGAATAAATTTAATGTGTATACCTATCATATACTGTATACCTATATACACACATATGTATGTATATACATACACGTGTGTGTATACATATACATATATATATACATATATACACACATATACACACACACACACATATATATACATGTATATATACATGAATGAACCCCAATGGTCCAGTTATTTGGAGCAAGATAGAAACAACTACTGTGGAATTATAAAACTATGGTAAAAAAAAATTTTTTTTTAACCATTTTGATGTTCAATGAATGCTAATTCTGCTGTTACATGATGATGCATGACCACAGACTTTAATATTAACACAAAAAGAATCACAAGTCATATCTTGATATATCTTACAAAGAACAGTAGAAATATCATACCAGGTTAGACCACCATTCCATAAATACGAATGATGATGATGATGATGATGATGATGATGATGATAACTCACCTTTAAATAAGACAACATGGTGTAGTAGAAAGAGCATTGGACCTGATGTGAGGAGACTTGGGTTTAAATCCCAACTCAGACGTATTCTGACCTTGGCATGTAATTTAACCTGAGTCCACAAAATGGGGATAACTCATAACTGTGTAATAAATAATGGTCACTGCTGAGAAAGTATTGTGTAATCTTAAAGTTTTATGTAAATGTAAATTACTATTGCAAAGCATATGGTTGTTTTCTGAGATAACTAGATCAAAAGTTTAAGTAATAGCTGCCAGCCCCAATAATCCATTGTGGAAGTACGTATTCATTAATTTTATTAGTCTTTTTAATATTACTTTATTCTACCAATACTACTGCTTCATATAATAAGTATGCTGTGAATAGTAAACATCGAAAAGTAGCATTTCCTTTTATTCGTCCTACCGTCTTTCAAGCTTCAAGGAGCCCCCTAATATTGAAATGGTTTTTAACAGTGAAATGGTTTTCTAAAACCTATTTACTCTGTCCACACATTTTTTAAGTTTATGAACTTGCATCTTATACTTCCTCACACTTCATTTTTATTTATATTACAGAATATTATTTTTTACAACTGTTTTCATTAGAAGCCCTCCACCACCTTGATTACTCTATAGTTGACTTTCTCTGAACCTTCTTCCTTCTTGGCATAAAGCCCAGCATACATGACTTCATTTTCAGATGTACCCTAACCATGGCAGTGGAAAGAGCACTAGACTTAAGAACCAGCAAAGACTTGGATTAAAATGCCAGTCCTGATATTACCTGGTTGTATGACCTTAAAAAAGTCACTCAACTTGTCTGAATCTGTTTCCTCATCTGCAAAAAAAAGATAATAAAACTTGCAATACCTACCTATAATGAGGACAGCACCTGCAAACTTTAAAGTGCTATACAAATGTGACTTGCTTTTTTTCCTACTATTTTCCTGATGATGTCCAACACGAGTCCTTTTGTCTGCAGCAGCACACGGGACCAAAATCTTCAAAGAACATGTGACCATGACTCCAAGTTCCCTTTAATGGGTTCAAAACGACTGCTCAAACAACATCATTTTCTAAATACATTTTGGTTTATTTTTCTCAAGATATGTTAATGTATAATTATAATTGTCCATTATGAAATTCAACTGCCACTTTTTTTTAAACCAATTCACAATATATTGTGATAACTGCTTGCTATTTATCTCATCAACTCAATATTTAACTGTTGGGAGGGTTCTCTGGGTAACTTATCATTGAGATCACTTAAAAAATGCTTAGATGTCTTTATTTCCTATCTAGTGACAAAATATTCTTCCCAAACCCACTGTAACTCAGGGGGTTTATTTGTTTGTTTTTATTTTAACAAATCTTTAAAGCCTTCAAAAAATATTTCAAAGACTAAAAAAAATTACTTTTTTTTCATAGATATAGAATTGCTGCAAGGGACCGCAAAGGCAGCCAGTCCAACCTCCTCTGGAGATGAGGAACCTGAAGCCCAGGGAGGTTACATAAATAGCAAGTCTCCGATGTGGGATCTGAACCTAGGTCCTTTGACTCCAGGGCCAATGCTGCTTCTACCATGCCAGGTTGCCTCCTTACTCTATTTCCTAATGCTATATGGTTTTAATACTTAAATTTCACAGGTTTAGATCTCTCAAATTCATGTCAGAGAAAGACATTCAGTGATTCCAATAACAACAATTTCTTATAGTTTCACCAACTTACTAGGACATCTTCAGCAATTTGCTCGTTTCAGGTTTCCAAGTCCCTCTTAGAAACTGCTCCAGACTTACGATTACATTACCACCAGCAGCTAAAAACCCAGAAAGTAATGTTATTTAGATTTGCTTTATTGACATGATTAAGTAGAACCAAATGAAGATAATTCTATAACATCTTCCAGCTGAAAATCTAATGAGAAGTTTCAAATAAGCAGGGTTAATTGCATCAGCATACAATTATAATCTAAAATTACCATACTTTCCAGATTATAACAAGATATCAAAAATTGGCCACTATATTAAGGTCCTGAGAAAATGGTAGTCTTGTTCTTTCACTGCCATAACACTTGTGTTTTATATTCCATTAGCAGGAGAAGTTAGGGCTACAAACCCAAATCTAGGCAGGGTTTTATAACTGACCAGAAGAATTATCCAGATATTTCAAAAGGAAACTTCTCTATAAATCTTGTTATTTATTCCAATGTGTTCTATGGTCTAGAAATATGGAAAATTCATAATAATGAGGTATTTTCATTCATGCATGTACAGTTAATCACCTAATGTGAAGTTGGAAGAATGTGCTAAATTAATTGTAACTCGAACATATAGCAATAAAACTACAAAGTACCTGAGCAGAAAAACTGCACTGCTCCTATTAAAATGAAAAGCCCAAAAAGAAAATGCAATTTATCAAGCATAGTACAATTAATATTACAGAAGAAATCAAGAATTTCAAGTGATTCTAAATAATCATTTCCCCATTATTATGTCACATGTTTAAATTGGCTTTATATCTAGCATGGAGCCATAAATAGCTTATAGCTATGTGGTTGTGGGGAATCCTAATTAATTATGGCAATTTCCAAAATAAGATGACACTTTCATGTCCACAGAGAATAAGGAGTCTAAAAACAAAAATTTCTTATTTCCAAAACTTTTCCATTAATAAAGCAGGTGAGTCCATTACTGTGACTAAAGGACTAATCAACAGTTCTGGTGTATTAGGTAATAATTTATGATGTTAATATTACCTCGGGCCCATCCAACAGCTACCAACACCATCCAGGCATCTGTGTAATTGCTACTAGCATGTGTGATTCCACCCACGATTTTCCAAGTTCTGGTCACTTCCTTCATTCCTGCAGCCAAGAGTTTAACAGGCGGGAAACGATAGCACTCGGAAACTATGTCATATGGGCAATAAAACACAATATACCTGAAATAAAATTTTAAATATTTTTATATGTGAATGCGGAAAGAAGCAGAAGAGAAATAAAAAATACAATGTGTCATCATCAAGCAACATTTATTGAGTGCCCGCTGTGGCAAAGCACTACACACAGCAACTATTTGGAATTACAAAATAAATGGGGACATGGGACCTACCTTGAAGAAGCTTATAGAGGGGGAAATTTACCAAAAAAGTATTCAAATATACATGAAACAATAGAAATATAATATTGACATGTCAAAGCTAGTAAATGACAAAAAAAAATCACAATCCAACTGCATGGGTAAATTTTGAGTTTCTACAGATTTTATGTCTAACTGAAGATTATTATATGCACATGCACTGTGCTAGGTAATGAAAAAGATAAAAAAATATGAAACATAGTTCCTGTCCTCTCGGATCTTATAAATTATAGGGGAGGGGGCTAAGATGGCAGAGCGGTAGGAAGCCCAGCTCTCTACCACAACTACACAAAGACCCAGAAAAGCTATCAAACAAATCTGATTGGGAAATCCAAGGAAAAAAAAATCAAAGTGAATCATTTTGTCAGGTCAGGTTGGCATAGGGAAAGAGAAAGTTCTACAGACACTGGAGATGAGATCTGGCCAGGAGCATGAGGCTGAGCAGAGCACTCTAATACTCAGGGACTCAGTACCCAGCTCATTCCTGGAGCAGGAAGCACCAGGGCAGGAAAGGTCCAAGGGAGTCCCTGAACTAGTACAACAGGATGCAAGACAGATGCCATCTAGCAACACTGACACTACCTAGTTCTTAGGATCCAGGTGGACTGACGAGGGGGTCTGCATGTAGGGGCAGTGAAACAGTCAGGAGGCATAACTGAATAAGGAACAAGTTTAGAAGAGAGAGTTATTGTGTGGCTCCAATCCCAGGAGCACAACAGGAACTCAGTTCTACCCTGGCTAAAGTCTACAGCATACTAGCCTAAGGAGATATCCCAGACCAAAGGGGATCCTGCAGTTTAGTCACGCTGAACCTGCAGAACCTCCCAAGGAGCCAATAGAAGCTAGCAGCAGTCTACTGAAAATGTCAACCAAGGAGAAGACAACTGAGATCTTCCTCCCCCAAATCTGGGTCAAGAACTGGCAGAGCTCAAAACCATAAGGGAAGTTAACAGACTTAACCCCAGATCACAACACTTTGGGAGCACTGAAAGCTCACAGGTCCCAGTCAGAGATATCTTTGAGATCCTGGAATAATATAACATTCAATATCACAAGAAAGTAGCAGAAGAACTCAAGAGGACAAAAGCTCAGTCCAAACATCCCCTAGAAGTACACAGAGCACAGGTATAACATAAAGCCCAAAGTAAAGAATTAGGCTGAAAGAATGAACAATTTAAAAAAAAAAAGTATGGCAACAAGGAAGATCAAGAAACAAACTCAGAAGAAAAGAATGATTCCAAAACATATATAAGCAAAGCCTCAAAGGAAAAACACAGTTTAGGTACAAGTCCATCCAGAATTCCTGGAAGAGGTAAAGCAGAAATTATTAAAAAAAAAAAAAAAAAGCATGAGGGTGAGAAAAACAACGAGGAAAACTATCTCAAACAAATGGGGTACACAAAAATCTATACAACGAGGAAAGAGTGGGGGGCAGGTGAAACTTGAACATTTCTTCCGACAATTAATATACTATGATTCATTCAACAAACATTTTTAGAAGCACACTATGTTCAAGACACTTGTATAGGCTTTGAGATATACAAAAATGGATAATAATCCTGGCCCTGCATAGGATAGAGTTGTTTCTCATCCCACCAGTCATCAGTGCTTCTGGTTCCAGTTATCTGTGCCTCCCTTGCTTAGCTTTGGAAGACTTAAAGTGAGCCTGAGCCAGTGCAGTATCATATTTTGTCATTTGCTGTCAGCCAGCTACACTGTTGGGAATGTTGGTGGCTTAAAGATGAATTTCATTATCACCTCATCAGCATCAAATACAATTGATTAAATGGTTATGACTGTGTGGTAGGGATGCCACAAAGCAAGTGACACTCATATGAATCTTGTCCTGGAGGAGGGTGGCACCTCCAAAGGATCAGGAAGAATAGGCAATAAAATAGGCAAATGCATAGCATGAGAATATAAAATGACACAGCTTTCTAGCAAATAATGTCACGTCAGAGTTACATCCTTCATTCTAGTATGGGGTCATGGAAGTTCTGAGCATGCTAATTTCTGAAGTTGGGAGGGAGGTGTATAAACATCTCCACTCCTATTTCTATGCCTCCATATGGGATATTCGAGGAGAAATAGCAACTCTGGTGTGAGGGCTTGCCAAGACATTTTCAGGGCTGTTCATTCACTTTTAGTGTCTACCTTCACCCAATTCTCACCTGTGGCTCCAAGAAGCTGTAGCATACACAGCAGCCATACCCCAGTAAACTGTCTCAGCAGACAGGCTAAACCAGGTTGAGGGTAACCAACAGGCCTCAAACCTGTCAGTGAGTTAGGGGGATGTCTACCCAAGCATGTGAAGACTTGCCCTAGTAGAATAGGTGGATGAGAACGATTTGTTCCAATGGCCATGAAGGTGGCTGAAGTAGGCACTGTGGAAAGCTTAGAGCTTGGTCAGATATCAAAGATTCCAAAGTCATCCACTGCATCCCAGGCCATCACCAGTCATCTTGACTTTTGTCTTGCCACTGGACTTTGATGATTCTGGAAGAGAGAGTGAGGCTGAAGATTCTGTGCAACTGTGCCTCACTAAAATCCAATTCATGCGCAAGTCAAGACATCAGCCATGATGTCATTGGTCCTCTTCAAAAACAAAGGAAAAACAACAACTTTCCCCCACATTCTCCTTACTTCTAAACTTCCCTATTACTGTCAAGGGTACACCATCCTCCCACTCCCCCAGCCTCACCATCTAAATGTCATTCTCAATTCCTTATTCTTTCTCATCTCTCCTATCCAATCTGTTGCAAAAGCCTGTCAAATTTTACCTTTGTAATATCTCTCAAACATGCTGCCTTCTCTCCTCTGATACATCATCATAGTATAGGTGTTCCTCTTGTCAAGCCTAGACTACTACAATGGACAACTGGTTGGTCTGCCTATCACAAGAGTCTTTCCGATACTCTACCGGGGTGGAGCCAATATGGCAGAGTAAAGGCAGGGGCTTGCCTGAGCTCTCCTCCAAAACCCTCCAGATACCTTTTAAAAAATTACTCTAAACAAATTCTAGAGCAGCGGAGCTCATAAAAAGATGGAGTGAAACAAATTTCCTGTCCAAGACAACTTGGAAGGTCAACAGGAAAGATCTGTTGCACCAGGCTGAGAGAGAAGTGCAGTCTAATGCAGGCCACCCTGGCAAGCCTGGAGTAGGCTTCAGGGCAACTGAATTGCTGGCAGCAGTGGCGGTTTCTAGACCTCTCAGCCTACAGACACCAGGGACAACTTAGAAGGTCAGCAGGAAGGCCTAGGGAATGACTGAAGCAGCAGTGGCTGCTCCCAGGGCTCTCAGACCACAGACAGCAAGGGGGTCAAACAACTGGTCAGAAGGAGATTACAGGGATCTCTTTACTAGCACTGAGGCAGGAGCGCCCACACTCAGATCCAGGTCCAAGTCCTGGGGGGCAGTCCCAGGAGAAGAAGTGGCACTAGCATAGCAGAGCTGGCAGCCACAGTGAAGGGGGGGCCCCTCCTCACAATTCCAAGGCAGAAAAGAGTGCTTGTGGTAGCTCACAGACCAGAGCACAGGCCAGAAGAGTAGAAAACACTGCTCCTTAGATCACTCCTCCTTGGAAGAAGAGAAAACTTTCAGGTCCCCAGAAGTATCTCTGAAAACAGCTGCTCAAAGCCCCTGAAGCTTGGGACAGTGTGCACTTCACCCTGGAAGCAGAGCTCTACTTTAACAAATAAAAGTCAAGTAATAAACTGGGGAAATGAGCAAACAATGGAAAAAAATCTGACTATAGAAAGTTATTTTGGTGACAAGGAAGATCAAAATACATATTCAAAAGAAGATAGCAAAGTCAAAGCTCCTACATCCAAAGCCTCCAAGAAAAATATTAATTGGTCTCAGGCCATGGGAGAACTGAAAAAGGATTTTGAAAATCAAGTTAAAAAAAAAAAAGAGGTAGAGGAAAAATTGGGAAGAGAAATGAAAGTAATGCCAGAAAATCATGAGAAAAGAGTCAACAGCTTGGTGAAGGAGTCATAAAAAAAAAACACCTTAAGAAACATAGGCCAAATTGCAAAAAAGGCCCAAAAGCTCACAGAAGAAAATAATTGCTTAAAAATTAGAATGGAGCAAATGGAAGCTAATGACTTCATCAGAAACCAAGAAGCAATAAAACAAAACTAAAAGAATGAAAAAAATAGAAGACAATGAGAAATATCTCACTGGAAAAACAACAGACTTGGAAAATAGATCCAGGAGAAATAATTTTAAAATTATTGGATTACCTGAAAGCCATGATCAAAAAAAGAGCCTACATATCGTCTTTCAAGAAATTATCAGAGAAAGTTGCCCTGATATTCTAGAACCAGAGGGTAAAATAGAAATTGAAAGAATCCACTGATCACCTCCTGAATGAGGTCCCAAAATGAAAACTGCCAGAATTCCAGAGCTCTCAGGTCAAGGGGAAAATATTGCAAACAGCCAGAAAGAAACAATTCAAGTACTATGGAGCCACAGTCAGGATAACACAAGATTTAGGAGCTTCTACTTTAAAGAGCTTGGAATGATATTCCAGAGGACAAAGGAGCTGGGATTACAACCAAGAATCACCTACACAGAAAAACTGAGTATAATCCTTCAAGGGAAGAAATGGAAATTTAATGAGATAGAGGACTTTCAGGCATTCTTGACCAGAACTGAATAGGAAATCTGACTTTCAAATGCCAGACTCAAGAGAAGCATAAAAAGGTAAACAGGAAATGGAAATCATAAGAGACTTAATAAGGTTAAATTTTTTACATTCCTACATGGAAAGATGATATTTGTTACTCATAAGACTGTTC